GTCGCTATGCAGGGGTCCACTGTATATTTATTTATTTTTTATTTATTTATTTATTAATTTGAACATGATACAGAGAAGTACAAAAGAATACAGTTAAATGCAGCATGCCAAAGCCACTTGAATGCATAGCATTACGGGCAGGCTTAAAATTAACTTAAGATTAACTAAGTAATGAAGTATTCAGTGGTAAAACATTATTGTAAACAGATAAGAAGCACAAATGAGAATTACAAAAACAGGTCATATGGTTGCATGCATTGCTGTACAATCAGTATTTATTTATTTATTTATTTTATTTATTTTATTTAATTTGAACATGATACCTTTCCTAGGGTCGGCCTAGGAAAGGGAGGGAGGGGGTAAAGGAGGTTTTGTGTGCGAGGGGCTTGGACTTCCAGCAGGCATGCGTGAGCGTGTTTGATAGGAGTGAATGGAGACAAATGGTTTTTAATACTTGACGTGCTGTTGGAGTGTGAGCAAAGTAACATTTATGAAGGGGTTCAGGGAAACCGGCAGGCCGGACTTGAGTCCTGGAGATGGGAAGTACAGTGCCTGCACTGTGAAGGAGGGGTGTTAATGTTGCAGTTTAAAAACTGTAGTGTAAAGCACCCTTCTGGCAAGACAGTGATGGAGTGAATGATGGTGAAAGTTTTTCTTTTTCGGGCCACCCTGCCTTGGTGGGAATCGGCCAGTGTGATAATAATAATGATACAGAGGAGTACAAGGAATACAATTTTTAAAGTGCAGCATGCCAAAGCCCTTTGTATGCAGAGCATTATGGGCAGGCTTTACAAAAATTATTGTAAAACAGATAACAATTTAGTACAAATGAGTATTACAAAGACAGGTCATATGGTCATTTACTGTGTTGCTGTGCAATCAGTAGAATGGAGTATTCTGTTAGGTAATGAAGTTAAATAGTAACAAAGTTTGATTGGGTCACAGGTTGACATTTATGAGATTCAATAATGAGATACATATATGAGATACAATTTATGAGATACAATTATTCAGTATTTATTTAGTTGTGGGTGAGTAAGTGATTTTTGGGAAGAGACTTGAATTTATAAACAGACAGTGTTTCTTTTATATTCACAGGTAATGAATTCCAGATTTTAGGGCCTTTTATGTGCATTGAGTTTTTGCATAGCGTGCGATGGACACGAGGAACATCAAAGAGTGATCTGTGTCTTGTGTTATGGTCATGTGTTCTGTTGAGGTTGGTAAGATGTTTGAGGAGAGGGTTTATGTCAGAGTTAAGTGTTCTATGTATGTAGTAGGTGCAGTAATAGGTATGGATGTTTTGTATTGTGAGTAGGTTTAGAGTTTTGAATATTGGTGGAGTGTGCTGTCTGTAGTGGGAATTTGTTATCATTCTGACTGCAGCCTTTTGTTGGGTGATTAGTGGTCTGAGATGGTTTACTGTTGTTGAGCCCCATGCACAAATTCCATAGGTGAGATAGGGGTAAATAAGTGAGTGATATAGGGCCAGGAGGGCTGACTGTGGAACATAGTACCGTATCTTTGATAGTATGCCTACGGTCTTGGAAATTTTTTTGGAAATTTGTTGTATATGTGTTTGAAATTTGAGTCTGTTATCAAGGTGGATTCCTAGGAATTTTCCCTCTGTGAGTTTTGTGATAGGTGATCCATTTATCATTATGTTAAGAGACACATCTGCAGCTCCGTTACCAAACTGAATGTAGTAGGTTTTGTCAATGTTTAGAGTAATTTTGTTGGTCCTCATCCAGGTTGATATTTTCTGTAATTCAGTATTTACAGTATTGGCTAGCATGACTGGGCTCGGATGAGAGTAGACGTATGTAGTGTCATCTGCAAAATAGGGGGGGTTTTGGGAGTAGTTCGATGTTTTGGGTTTAGGTCTTTTAAAGGGATATGAAAAAGAGAAGAAGGCCTAGGACCTTCCCGGGGGTCCCCCCCCAAATGTAATTGGCTGTGAAAAAGAGTTTGCCCCATTTTGTGTACCTTTTGGGCCCTTCTTTTGCTGAGGTATGACTTTAGGATTTTGAGGGAGTTCCCTTTTCCTATACCATAGGCGACAATTTTATGTGCAGCAAGTCTTTATTTCACTGTATCGAAAGCTTTACGTAAGTCAAGGGAAGACCCCCAGTGGGACTTTTTTTTTTCTCTATTCCCTGTATAAATATTTTCTAGTATGTGGTTATAGCTTTCTTTAGTATTTTTGTTGGGCCCCGAAAAAAAATTTGGGACGGGGGTTTTGAGTTTGTTGTGGGAGATGAGGTAGGAAAAGAAAACTTTTGGTTTAAATTTTTTAAAAATATCAAAACAGTTTGGAGCCCAGTCATTTTAAGTTAGATTAAAGGGGGGGTAGGTGATTTAAAAACCCTTTAAAAAAGAAATATGTAATGCTTTTTTACCTAATTTTTTTATTTTTTTATTATTATCACACGGGCCCGATTCCCCCCAAGGCAGGGGGCCCAAAAAAGAAAAACTTTAAACCATCATTACTCCATCACTGTCTTCCCGGAAGGGTGCTTTACCTACAGTTTTTAAAACTAAATTTTTAAAACACCCCTCCTTCGGGAGTGCAGGCACTGTACTTCCCATCTCCAGGATTTCAATTTCCCGGCCCCGGGGGGGTTTTTCCCTAAAACCCCCTTCCCCCCCCCCCTTTTTAAATGTTACTTTGCTCACACTCCAACAGCAGTAAAGTATTAAAAACCTTTTTGTCTCCATTCCTCCTATCAAACACGCCCCGGGCATGCCTGCGGGAAATTTCCAAGCCCCTCGCACCAAAACCTCCTTTACCCCCCCCCTCCCCCTTTTTCCTAGGCCGCCCCCTTTAACCCCGCCCCCTTTCCAAATACAGCCCTGATACACTTTAAAGTTTTCCCTTTTTCGCTCCTTTTTTCTTACATGTCCGAACCACCTAAACAAACCCTTCCCCCAGCCCTCGGGGAAAAACATTTTTTGGTAATCCCGCACCTCCCCCTAACTTCCAAACTAGGGAATTCTCTGCTTTTTTAAATATTCACCCCACCCATTCCCCCTCAGACAGACATCTCCACTCCCTCCGGGCCTTTTCCCCTCGCTGCAACATTCATCACCATGCTTACACCCTTTAAAGAGATTGATTAAAACTATACTTTTCATTTTTTCCCCTCTTTGCCTCCAAAAAAAGTTCTCTGTCTCCACGGATCCAAAAGTGCACCACTAAATTTTTTTTCCCTCATAAATTTCTATGTTTTCCACCTCATTTTTTCATAGACCCATCCGTGACACGTCCATCCCAAATATTGAATACTTTCCCACCCCCTTCCATACTCTCTCCCTCCAAATCTGTTTTCAAACTTCATCCCCAACTTTTGTTTTCCTCATAACCTTCTCTTTCCCGGATTCACCTTTAATTTTCTTCTTTTTCCCCCTACCAAATTCATCCAAACCCAAACTCGCAGTTTTTTTCAGAATTCCAAAAGCCAGTGCCCTCAGCCCAAAAGGGAGCTGTGACAAACTCCCAACCCTTTTGTGTATTCTTTATCTTTTTAAATCCAGCCTCTTGCCCCGACCCCCGCATTTACTTTCTTTAAAAACCCCCCTATAAAAAATATTAAAAAAACCACGGTGACATCACACATCCTTTTTCTTAAAGGCCCACTTTTACTGGGAAAAATTTCCCCCTTTTTACATTTCTCTAACTTGAGCCCCAATATTTCCCCGTAAAAACTCTTCAAGCTTTTAAATAAACCCACCTCCCACACCATACACTTTAACCCTCTGCCCCCCTTGCCCCCTATCCCCTGTCAACGCCCCCTTTTTAAACCCTAAATGCCACAAAAACCTCTTTTGCCTTATCAAATTTCTGTTCATTATTTGTTTTCACTGTAAAAAATGGTCCCCCACACCCCCTACCCTTTTCCTTTAAAACCTCCCTTTTTCTTTTGCTATCCTATTCTCCCTCTTACTTTAATTCTTTCAATTTAAAAACTCTACCATAACTTTACCAGGGAAACTCAACAGACTTATTTCCCCCCATAATTTTTGCAATCTCTTTTATCCCCTTTGCCCTTTTTACAAAAGGGAAATTGCATGCTCTCTGCCAATCCCTAGGGACCTTACCCCCCTTCCTTTCATTTATTTAAAAAAAATTGCACCAACCACTCCAAAACTATATCCCACCTGCCCTTTTTAAACCCTTTTTTATTTTATTCCCCTCAAAACCCGGCCCCCCCTTACCCCCTTTCATTTTACCTAAATGCCTCAAGAAAAATTTCCCCCCCACTCACAACTGGCCCCTTTCCCCACTCCTACAAGGGTGTTTTTTTCCTCCTTTTCCCTATAACGAAAAACACAGCTTCCCTTTTTTCTCAAAAATTTAACAATTCCTTTTAAAAATTTCCCCCCATCTTCCCAATACCTCTAACTTCCATTTAATAACTCTCCTCTCCCATTTTTTAACTGACAAATCCATTTGTTCTTAAAGGGGTTCCCTTTAAAATTTTTAATCTCACTCCAAAACCTTTTCTTATTTTCAACAAAAATTTTTTGATAACAGTACCCACTCTCTATTTTTCTTCTTTTTACTTGCTTACCACTTCTTAACCTCTCTCTTTTTTTTCCCTATTTTCTTCCCTCCTTGGGATCACTTCTACTTTGTAAAAAAAATTCTCATATGGGGTAACTTTTTCTCCCTTACTACTCTCTTTTTTTCATATTCCCCCAATCGTCCTCTTTATAAGTTAATTAAAAATTTTAAAGGGTTTAAATTTAAAAAAAGGGGGGGGAATGTCTTGCCAAATCCAAACAAATTAAAATCAACATGTTTTTCACACATGCTGTTACAATTTGGGTGCAATGGGTAATGAGCTTCCTGTTCCCCCAAAATTGTATGCCCCCAAAAAATTCTGTCCCCGTTTTTTTTCCATATTTTTTTACCAGAAAAATGGGTTTTTATTGGGTTTTTTGGGATTTTGTGGGTTATTCAATTAAAGAATATCCATTACGGCCCTTTAATGTTGCAGGTATGGAAACTTTATGATGCTGGACCAAGGGGCGTCCGTTGCCCTTTAGTGTGTCTTCCTCCTGTTTGTGGAACTGCCGATTCCTTCTTCAAGCAAATTCTTCCTCTCACAGCACATGGTTATAGAGTTATATCGGTGAGAAAACATTTTAATCAATAAATTTAGTTAATGATTATTTGCTGCTTTATTTATACTTTATTTATAGCACCTGCAACTGCCAAACAGATACAGGTGCTGTTTGTAGACATATACGTACAGTGGAAGCTCGGCTTACGAATGTCCCACCTTTCGAAATTTTTTAGGGGTATGAACAGTCCTTCGGATCGAATTTAAATTTTAGGGTGCGAACTTACCCCTCAAGGGAGGTTCCTTGGTGAGGGGCTCTTGATCTAGGGAATTGGATCTGTGCTCCAGTTCTGTAAATTAATAATGTTAATAATAATTAGGAGAGGAGAGTTATTAAATGGAGAGTTAGAGGTATTGGGAAGATGGAGGGAATATTTTGAGGAAATGTTAAATGTTGATGAAGATAGGGAAGCTGTGATTTCTTTGTAAGGGCAAGGAGGAATAACATCTTCTAGGAGTGAGGAAGAGCCAGTTGTGAGTGTGGGGGAAGTCCGTGAGGCAGTAGGTAAAATGAAAGGGGGTAAGGCAGCCGGGATTGATGGGATAAAGATAGATATGTTAAAAGCAGGTGGGGATATAGTTTTAGAGTGGTTGGTGCTATTATTTAAAAAATGTATGGAAGAGGGTAAGGTACCTAGGGATTGGCAAAGAGCATGCATAGTTCCTTTGTATAAAGGCAAAGGGGGCCCAAAAGAGAGTGCAAAAATTATAAGGGTAAAAGTCTGTTGAGTATACCTGGTAAAGTGTATGGTAGAGTTATTATTGAAAGAATTAAAAGGAAGACTGAGAATAGGATAGCAGATGAAAAAGGGAGGCTTTAGGAAAGGTAGGGGGTGTGTGGACCGGGTTTGTTTACAGTAAAAACATATAAGTGAACAGTATTTAGATAAGGTTAAAGAGGTCTTTGTGGCTTTTTATGGATTTGGAAAAGGCATATGACAGGGTGGATGGGGGGCCCAATGTGGCAGATGTTGCAGGTGTAGGTTATGAAAGCAGTGAAGAGTTTTTACGAGGATAGTGAGGCTCAAGTTAGAGTGGGGTAGGAAAGAGGGAAATTATTTCCCAGTAAAATAGGCCTTAGACAAGGATGTGTGATGTCACATGGTTGTTCAATAATTTATAGATGGGGTTGTAAGAGAAGTAAATGCGAGGGTCTTGCCAAGAGGCGTGGAGTTAAAAGATAAAGAATCACACATAAAGTGGGAGTTGTCACAGTTGCTTTTCTGAGGGGCACTGTGCTTTTGGGGAGATTTAAAGAGAAGTTGCGGGTTTTGGTGGATAAATTTGGTAGGGGTGAAAAAGGGAAAGAAACTTAAAAGTAAATGCAGGAAAAAGAGTAAGGAAAAGAGGATAAAAAAAAGGGTTAGGTGAGGAAAGATTGGTATCAGATTGGAGGGAGAAGTATGTAGGAGGTAAATTTGTTATTCAGATATTTGGGAGTGGCGTGTCAGCGAGGGGTCTAGGGAAAGGGATGACTTGAATCTAAAATTTGATGAGGGGGAAAAGGGTGGGAGGTGGTGCACTTAGGGGGTCTGGGGAGACAAAGAATTTTGCCCTTGGAGGCAAAGAGGGGGAAGGGTTGAGAGTATATTTTTTTACCAACGCTCTTAAAATTGGGGTGTTAAGTTTGGGTGATAAATTGTTGCGCGGGGGAAAAGGGGGCTGGAGGCAGTGGAAGTGTCATGTCGGGGGGGAAATTTGTTTTGGGTGTGAATAAAATGCAGGAATTCGAGTTTGGAAGTTAGGAGGTTTTTGGGGGATTTACCAAAACTGTTGTCCAGGGGCTGAGGAAGGGTTGTTGAGGGGGTTTTGGGGAATGTAGAAAAAATGGGGGCAAAAAAGAGTGATTCAAGGGGTGTATCATTCGGGTTGTGGAAGGAAGGCAGGGTGGGGTCGCCTAGGGAAAAAGGGTTTTAGAGGGGGGGGGTTAAAGGAGGTTTTTTTGTGCGAGGGGGCTTGGATTTCCCAGCAGGCATGCTTGAGCGGGGTTTGATGGGAGTGAATGGGGGAACCAAAGGGTTTTTTTAATTTTGCCGTGCTGTTGGAGTGTGACCCAAAAGTAACATTTATGAAGGGGTTTCAAAAAAACCCGGGCAGGCCGTCTTGAGTCCGGGAAAAGATGGGAAGTACAGGGGCCGGGCACCCTAAAGGGGAGGGGTGTTAATGTTGCTTTTTAAAAAAATGTAGTTTTAAAAGCCCCCTTTGGGAAAGCATTTGAGGGAGTAAATGAGGGTTTAAAATTTTTTCTTTTTCGGGCCCCCCCCTCCCCTTTGGGTTTGGGAATAGCCAGTGTGATAATAAAAAAAAAAAAAAATAATTATTATTGTATTATTTTATGTACATTTTTTCGCCCTACATATGTTTTTAGGGCGAAAGGGCATTTGTTTGTTGGTTTTGTTTTGGTAGAAAAAAGACTTTTGAGTAGATTTAAAAGGTTTGTACATGTTTTATAGGGGGGCCAAAAATTTATATCAAAATCACTTTTAGTTGTGGGCTACACTGGAGAAAAAAGGTAGGGGGTTACAAGGAAAAATAGAAGCCGGGGAAAGAGAAAAGGTTTTGGGGTTTTTTAAACTAAAAGGGAGGCTTTTGGGTAATATTTAAAACAGTTTTGGGAAAGGGATAGATGGGCTAAGGGGAGCATAGGCAATGGGTCGAAGGGTATGGGGTAGGTTTAAAAATGTTTGTTAGTTTTTCAGAAAAAGTTTGTGGTTACGGAAAGTGGGGTGGGGGAGTGAAGAGGAGCGTTTGGTTGAATGAGTTTTAAAAGAAAGTAGTAAGGGGAAAAAAAAAGTAGGGATATGAGAAGTTTTTACAAAGTTTTTAAATGATTTTAGGAGGAAAGGGATATGGGGGGGAAAAAAAAGGGGAGATTAAGAGAGTGGTGAAGCAATTTCAAAAAAAGGGGCAAATGGAGGTGGGTGAGAGTTATCAACAAAAATTTTTTTTTGAAAAAGAAAAAAATTTTGGAGGGTTGGGAAAGGAGGGCGGGGGGGGGGTTTTTAAAATTGGGGGGGGGGAAAAAGGGGGTTTTGGGGGGGGGAGGGGGGGGGTTTTTGAGGGGTTTTTTTGTGGGAGTGGGAATTTTTTTTTGGGATGGGGGGGGAAAAGGGATAGGAAACCGGGGGAGTGTGGGGGGGGGCGGGTTTAAAAGGGGGGGGGGGGCCCCGGGAAAAGGGGGGGGAAAAAAAAGGCGGGGGGATATAGTTTGGGGGGTTTGGGTCAATTATTTAATAAATGTATGGAAAAGGGAAGGCCCGGGGGGGGAAGAGAATTTTTTTTTAAAAGGCAAAGGGGACAAAAGAGAGTGCAAAAATTATGGGGGTTTGTCTGTTGAGTATACCTGGGAAAAATGTATGGTGAGTTTTATTGAAAGAATTTAAAAGAAGATGGGAATGGATAGCAGATGAACAAGGAGGTTTTAGGAAAGGTAGGGGGTGTGTGGACCGGTTTTTACGTGAAACTATAAGTGAACAGTATTTGTAAGGCTAAAGGGGTTTTTGGGGGCTTTATGTTTTGGGAAAAAGGTATGACAGGGTGGATAGGGGGGCAGTGTGGCAGATGTTGCAGGTGTTGGTGTAAGTGGTAGGTTACTCAAAGCAGTGAGAGTTTTTACGAGGTGTGGGGTCAAGTTAGAGTATGTTGGAAAGAGGGAGATTATTTCCCCAGTAAAAGTAGGCCTTAGACAAGGATGTGTGATGTCACCGTGGTTGTTTAATATATTTATAGAGGGGGTTGTAAGAGAAGTAAATGCGAGGGTCTTGGCAAGAGGCGTGGAGTTAAAAGATAAAGAATCACACATAAAGTGGGAGTTGTCACAGTTGCTCTTTGCTGATGCCCACTGTGCTCTTGGGGATTCTGAAGAAAAAGTTGCCAGAGGTTGGTGGATGAATTTGGTTAGGGTATGCAAAAGAAGAAATTAAAAGTGAATACAGGAAAGAGTAAGGTTATGAGGATAACAAAAAGATTAGGTGATGAAAGATTGGATATCAGATTGAAGGGAGAGATTTATGTAGGAGGTGAATGTATTCGATATTTGGGAGTGGACATGTCAGCGGATGGGTCTATGAAAAATGAGGTGAATCATGGAGTTGATAAGGGGAAAAGGGTGAGCGGTGCACTTAGGAGTCTGTGGAGACAAAGAACTTTGTCCTTTGGGAGGCAAAGGGGGGAATGTATGAGAGTGTATAGTTTTACCAACGCTCTTATATGGGTGTGAAGCATGGGTGATGAATGTTGCAGCGAGGAGAAGGCTGGAGGCAGTGGAGATGTCATGTCTGAGGGCAATGTGTTGTGTGAATATAATGCAGAGTATTTGTAGTTTGGAAGTTAGGAGGAAGTGGGGGAAATTACCAAAACTGTTGTCCAGAGGGCTGGGGAAGGGTTGTTGAGGTGGTTCGGACTGTAGAGAGAATGGAGCGAAACAGAATGACTTCAAGAGTGTATCAGTCTGCAGTGGAAGGAAGGGGGGGTAGGGGGTCGGTAGGAAAGGTTGGAGGGAGGCGGTTTAAAAGGGGGTTTTGTGTGCGAGGGGCTTGGACTTCCAGCAGGAATGCGTGAGCATGTTTGATAGGAGTAAATGGAGACGGATGGTTTTTAATACTTGACATGCTGTTGGAGTGTGAGCAAAGTAACATTTATGAAGGGATTCAGGGAAACCAGCAGGCCAGACTTGAGTCCTGGAGATGGGAAGTACAGTGCCTGCACTCTGAAGGAGGGGTGTTAATGTTGCAGTTTAAAAACTGTAGTGTAAAGCACCCTTCTGGCAAGACAGTGATGGAGTGAATGATGGTGAAAGTTTTTCTTTTTCGGGCCACCCTGCCTTGGTGGGAATCGGCCAGTGTGTTAATAATAATAATAATAAAAATATAATAATACAGGCATTTGTCAGTGTAATTACAAAAGTGGGACAATGTATACCAATTGCAATATCTTTCTAATTGCATATTTTTTTTAAACAGTAGTAATAATAATAATTCAGTAATAACAATATTAATATACAGATTGGTATTTCATGTTTCATCTGCAATAGTACCTCTTTGTATTTTGTCCTCTTTGAATTGATTTATTGTAAGTGCTAGCAATAGTTGTAGCCATTATGAAGTATAATCATCCTCTTGCAGGTGGAGTACCCAGTATACTGGACAGTTCCTGAGTGGTGTGAAGGCTTCAGACATCTCCTAGACCTTCTTGAGATTGATCGTGCTCACATATTAGGGGTTAGTTCATACTTTTATAGTAAGGTAACATTCTTGTACTGTATTTTATGCTGAGTCTGGATAACATGAGCTACAAAATATCTTTGAATATTAGACTGTTTTAGGATATTGGTTGCATTTATCAATAAAAAAAAAAAGGGGTGTTTTAAGGATTTTGAAAGATCAAATGTCATAATGCAGTAGGTGCTTAATTATCTGAACTGCTGTAGTATACAGCAAGGTTTATATCTAGGCTTCCTCCTAACAACCGACTTGTCAGTAAATGGAAGTGATTATTTGTTTACAAACCACTGACACATCAGTGACCCCTAGTACAGTAACAACAACATTGAATTCTTCTGTTTCAGCTAAGTAAATTGACCCAGCTTTCTCAAGAATGATTCATGATCCATACAATAAGTACTATATATCCTTATCTTGTGAACACAATTTTGAAAAATATTCTCCATAGTGTAAAGCACCCTTCTGGCAAGACAGTGATGGAGTGAATGATGGTGAAAGTTTTTCTTTTTCAGGCCACCCTGCCTTGGTGGGAATCGGCCAGTGTGATAATAAAAAAATAATAAAATAATATTCTCCATATTATGAGGGTTATCCAGTACTAAATCAGGCAGCTGACTGTAGTTTGCAGCTTGTGTAGCTGAGAGCACAGATAAGTAAATGTAGATATGCAGAAGAAAAACAAGATTAAACTAGGCATAAGAGTGACTACAGGCTGTTGGTTTAACCCTTTCAGGGTCCGTCCCGTAGATCTACGGCTTTACGTTCAGGGTCCAAAACGTAGATATATGCCATGAGCTCAGCTCGCTCTGATAAACTGTGAGGGGTAAATTTGGGCCTAGATATGAGAGAATACATCTATGTGGTATGTGTGCACCACATAAATCCTGCAGCAGACTATGTATAATAGAAAAAAAAACTGAGTCATGATTTTCGATTAAAACAGCGACTTTGCAGTGTTTTTTGTATGTTTTTTTAGTTGTATTTGCGATTTCTTGGTCTCATTTGATAGAATGGAAGACATATTACAGAAATAGAGATGATTTTGATTGCTTTTAGCACTGGAAATGGCTTGAAACTGAGCTCAAAGTAGCGGAAATGTTAAATTTTTGCCGATGTTCAAGAGTAAACAAATGACCTCGCACGTCTAATACATGCCAGCTGGTGGGTCTAATATACATTCACAAATGTGGTGATGATATTTATACAATTATTACAATATTGCATAACAGTAAATCTTCTATTTTTTGGTGTGAATAAAAATTCATTATGTGAATAAAAAATAAAATTTGGAATTTATTTGTTAAAGCCCTCAAAACATAACTAATGAACAGAGGAAATGTTAGTTTAGTGCGAGGAATACCTACATTGTTTATTCTGGACCCTATTTTGAAATTGGAATATTTTGAACTTTGTGTTAAATTGGCCAAATTACCAATTTCCGATCACTTTATTTTGTAGTTGAAACAGTTGACTTGGCAATTTCTTGTGCTCAATCGATAGAATAGAAGTAATACTAGTGAAGTAGCTAAGAATTTGGTCGACTGGAATAATGTAATTGGGCTAAAATGGGAGTCAAAGTCGGCAAAATTGCTGATTCGTAAATATCGCTGACACATCAAAATTCGCGAGAGCATAATTTCCTCAATTTTCCATCAAATTTCATACTTTTTGTTTTATTACCTTCACAAAAAAATTCTCTACAATTTCATAAGAAAAAATAACAAATTTTTTTTTTTTTTTTGAAAATTCTTGGACACTGGGCACCACTTCAGATTTTGGCCTTGGACCCTGAAAGGGTTAATACAAGGCTTATTGACAGCTTCTGTTTTCCATCTTCAGTATTTGAATACACTGATGTGCTTTTTTTAATATTATTGGCCTCTAGTTGACATAGATGAACTAATTATATAATTTAGTAAATAAGCATTCTTTTATATTTTTCCTAGACTTCCAGCCAAAATATTAGTACATGTATCTCCTCACTTATCAGCGTACTCATTTAATGACTGCCCGGACTTATGACCAGCTCTCTGATTGGTATGCATACCTAAGTACTGTATATTAAAGCTGATTTCCTCTATTCTGTTTATTACAATATACAGTGGAACCTCGGTTGTCGAATGGACTAGTTGTCAAATAAATAGGTTTTTGAACAAGGAATTTGGTCCTGGTTTTCGTACTTGGTCTTGGTTGTCGACCGACAACGCTCGGATCCCATGATTACCAGAGTCCACAATGTGGGTCTCACCATACGAAAATATACCACAAAGTCACTGTTTTCAACCAATAACACGGTTGCAATTTTTTCCTCGTGCACTGTGTGCTGCAGGATTTTTTTATATTGAGCATACTGACCATGCTTTCTCCCGCAAGAATTTTGCTATTAGCTCTCCTCTGTCAGGTAAGAAGCAGTTAGTTTCAATTACTGTACAGTATTTCAGTTAAACTTTCATTTAAAATTCATTTTTACAGTTTCCAAGTGCTGTATAATTTTATACATTGTTTTATGTAGTAGATAGTACATTATCATTAATAAAATGTAATTTTTGGTCTGGAGTTGATTAATTCTATTTATATTATTCTTTATGGGAAAAATTGGTGTGGTTGTCGAACCGACATCTGGAACGAATTAAGTTCTACAACCGAGGTTCCACTGTTCAGTACACTACTGTTTAAACATTTAAATATATACTAAAAATGTTATAAATTGTGCAAAGGTGACATTAAAACAATATCTAAAGATGGTTGACACAAACCCACTACCAGTATAGGTTACTCCTCGCCTAATGACCAATTCGTCTACCTACTCTTAGGAACAGAACTCCATTGTTAAGCGAGAAGAGACTCTGTTTAAAAGTGATTTATTACTGAATGTGGAGAGATATTTTATCCAGGTATGTTGAAAATCAATAAGTATACCAGTATATCAATGAGTATACCAGGAAAAGTATATGGTAGGGTTATAATTGAAAGAATTAGAGGTAAGACAGAATGTAGGATTGCGGATGAACAAGGAGGTTTCAGAGTGGGTAGGGGATGTGTAGATCAAGTGTTTACATTGAAGCATATATGTCAACAGTATTTAGATAAAGGTAGGGAAGTTTTTATTGCATTTATGGATTTAGAAAAGGCATATGATAGAGTGGATAGGGGAGCAATGTGGCAGATGCTGCAAGTATATGGAATAGGTGGTAAGTTACTAAATGCTGTAAAGAGTTTTTATGAGGATAGTGAGGCTCAGGTTAGGGTGTGTAGAAGAGAGGGAGACTACTTCCCGGTAAAAGTAGGTCTTAGACAGGGATGTGTAATGTCACCATGGTTGTTTAATATATTTATAGATGGGGTTGTAAAAGAAGTAAATGCTAGGGTGTTCGGGAGTGGGGTGGGACTAAATTATGGGGAATCAAATTCAAAATGGGAATTAACACAGTTAATTTTTGCTGATGATACTGTGCTTATGGGAGATTCTAAAGAAAAATTGCAAAGGTTAGTGGATGAGTTTGGGAATGTGTGTAAAGGTAGAAAGTTGAAAGTGAACATAGAAAAGAGCAAGGTGATGAGGGTATCAAATGATTTAGATAAAGAAAAATTGGATATCAAATTGGGGAGGAGGAGTATGGAAGAAGTGAATGTTTTCAGATACTTGGGAGTTGACATGTCGGCAGATGGATTTATGAAGAATGAGGTTAATCATAGAATTGATGAGGGAAAAAAGGTGAGTGGTGCATTGAGGTATATGTGGAGTCAAAAAACGTTATCTATGGAGGCAAAGAAGGGAATGTATGAAAGTATAGTAATACCAACACTCTATATGGGTGTGAAGCTTGGGTGGTAAATGCAGCAGCGAGGAGACGGTTGGAGGCAGTGGAGATGTCCTGTCTAAGGGCAATGTGTGGTGTAAATATTATGCAGAAAATTCGGAGTGTGGAAATTAGGAAAAGGTGTGGAGTTAATAAAAGTATTAGTCAGAGGGCAGAAGAGGGGTTGTTGAGGTGGTTTGGTCATTTAGAGAGAATGGATCAAAGTAGAATGACATGGAAAGCATATAAATCTATAGGGGAAGGAAGGCGAGGTAGGGGTCGTCCTCGAAAGGGTTGGAGAGAGGGGGTAAAGGAGGTTTTGTGGGCAAGGGGCTTGGACTTCCAGCAAGCGTGCGTGAGCGTGTTAGATAGGAGTGAATGGAGACGAATGGTACTTGGGACCTGACAATCTGTTGGAGTGTGAGCAGGGTAATATTTAGTGAAGGGATTCAGGGAAACCGGTTATTTTCATATAGTTGGACTTGAGTCCTAGAAATGGGAAGTACAATGCCTGCACTTTAAAGGAGGAGTTTGGGATATTGGCAGTTTGGAGGGATATGTTGACGTATATGCTTCTAAGCTGTTGTATTCTGAGGACCTCTGCAAAAACAGTGATTATGTGTGAGTGTGGTGAAAGTGTTGAATGATGATGAAAGCCTTTTCTTTTTGGGGATTTTCATTCTTTTTTGGGTCACCCTGCCTCGGTAGGAGACGGCCGACGTGTTAAAAAAAAAAAAATTGTTGAAAATCAAAAAAATGAGTGACTACATAATTATGAAAGAGCTAACAAACCATACCACAGGCGGGATTTGATCCCGCGGTCAGAGAGTCTCAAAGCTCCAGACTGTCGCGTTAGTTTTGAGACTGACCGCGGGTTCAAATCCCGCCCGTGGTATGGTTTGTTTGCAATCGTGTCATTACGATTTCGTGAGTTATGAAAGAGCTTATAGAGCATAGGCATTCTTGATAATCTACAAAATTCAAATATTTTGTTTATAATCTCAAAATTTTAACATTTCAGGCCTCACTTGGTGGATTTTTGGCCCAGAAGTTTGCCGAAGTCACCTTTAATTGCCCTCGTGTTGCTTCACTCATCCTCTGCAATTCCTTCATTGACACAAAGATCTTTAACTATGCAGATTCTTCTTCCGTGTAAGTGCTGGCCTCATAAGTAAAAAGGTGTACTGCTGACAGTAATAAAAAGAAAACACAGGTACAGAGGAAGCTATTATTGTGGTATTTTACACTACACAAGGCTTGCTCTACACTTCTACTTTCTTCTTTCAACAAACCGGCCGTATCCCACCGAGGCAGGGTGGCCCAAAAAGAAAAACAAAAGCTTCTCTTTTCAAATTTAATAATTTATACAGGAGAAGGGGTTTTGCTCTACACTTATCTTCATAAAAATGAGGGGTGGGCATATCTGCAGTATAGAGGGATGTCTGAACTGTGTATTAGTGTGCTTCTGGCAAGTCAGTGATAGTGTGAGTAATGATGAAAGTGTTTTTTTTTTTTTTTTTTTTTGTGGTCACCCTATTTTGGTAGGAAATGGCCTGTGTGTTAAATATACAGTGGAACCCCTACTTACAAGTGCATCCACATGTGAGTTTTTCCAGATACAAGCAGTCACTCGGTCAGTTTTTTGCTTCCAGATGCGAGCAAAATTCCCAAATGCAAGCAGGCCTCAAGGGAGGTTCCTTGACACTGGTGAGGGGCTCTTGCTCTTGATCTAGGAAACTGGATCTCAGTTGTTTGTTGGACTATCTTATTGAAACTTGAGCAATGTATGATGGGAAGATGCTTCTAAACATGCACCAAAAATGAAAGAAATCGGACCATAAATGACGGAGTTCACTTCTCAGCCATTAGCCTCCCCTTAGCGAATATATTTTCGTATGGATTTTATGGTTGTATATTCTTGTTTTGTTTGGTCTCATTTGATAAAATGGAAGATATACTACAGAAATAGATATGATTTTGATTGGTTTCATGACAAAAAGTACCTTGAAACTGAGCTCAAAGTAGCAGAAATGTTCGATTCTTTGGCGATGTTCAAGAGTTAACAAATGCCGCCACCATCCAATACCTGTCTGATTGGCACTGCCCCTCAACCTTCACATATTGGAAAGCTCTTCAACACGCTAGCAAAAGTGGGAGCAGACATCTTGAGGTAGCAGTGGCAAACACCATGAAGCAGCAGTGGCAGACATCATGAAGCAGCAGTGGCAGACATCATGAAGCAGCAGTGGCAGACATCATGAAGCAGCAGTGGCAGACATCATGAAGCAGCAGTGGCAGACATCATGAAGCAGCAGTGGCAGACATCATAAGGTAACAGTGGCAGACAACATGAAGCAGCAGTGGCAGACAACATGAAGCAGCAGTAGCAGACATCATGAAGCAGCAGTGGCAGACATCATGAAGCAGCAGTGGCAGACAACATGAAGCATCAGTGGCAGACAACATGAAGCATCAGTGGCAGACACCATGAAGCATCAGTGGCAGACAACATGAAGCATCAGTGGCAGACAACATGAAGCATCAGTGGCAGACAACATGAAGCATCAGTGCCAGACAACATGAAGCATCAGTGGCAGACAACATGAAGCATCAGTGGCAGACAACATGAAGCATCAGTGGCAGACAACATGAAGCATCAGTGGCAGACAACATGAAGCATCAGTGGCAGACAACATGAAGCATCAGTGGCAGACAACATGAAGCATCAGTGGCAGACAACATGAAGCATCAGTGCCAGACAACATGAAGCATCAGTGGCAGACACCATGAAGCATCAGTGGCAGACACCATGAAGCATCAGTGGCAGACAACATGAAGCATCAGTGGCAGACAACATGAAGCATCAGTGGCAGACACCATGAAGCATCAGTGGCAGACAACATGAAGCATCAGTGGCAGACAACATGAAGCATCAGTGGCAGACAACATGAAGCATCAGTGGCAGACAACATGAAGCATCAGTGGCAGACAACATGAAGCATCAGTGGCAGACAACATGAAGCAGCAGTGGCAGACATGAAGCAGCAGTGGCAGACAACATGAAACAGTAGTGGCAGACCTTGTTGTACCCTATACTATAAGCGAGTTTCCGATCG